CCGCTGTGAGAAGAGTTTTACTGACTGAAAGTCGCAGCTGAAATTGCAAGAATCAGGCCCAGCAACTACAAGAGAAATGCCAAACCATAGATTCAAGTTGTGAAGTCAGTAAAAAAAGACACAGAAGTCATTAAAAACCAGAGTTCACCCCTTATATTCAGTGAGGAAACATTTAAAATATAAAGAATTCACCAGCTGCAATTCTGTTTCAGGAAGCCAGAGATTGTGACCAATATCCAACATTGACTTTTGTTATTTCTGTAACAACTTAATCGCTGAGACACGGAGCCAAACAGAATTAATCACCACATGGCAGCAGAGTCCGCTGTTCGAGCAGAAAACTTACATTGTGTTATGTTAAAATGTCAAAATGTCTGTGTTGAGAGGCTGTAACTCTTGAGTCTCTTTTCAAACAATAATGCAAACTTAAGAAACCTCAGCACTGTGCTCTAAGGACATGCTTTTCTTCCCTCCATCATCATTTCTACGTCTGGACTGCATCCAGTTAAACTACTTCCTGCTTTTAAAGATCCAACGTAAAATGTGATTCTAATCCATCACAGTTCACTGTATAATGTTATAACAAAACAATCAAGTGTGACGGGATCACACTGTTGCCATCATGTAATCATGTTAGGGTTGAACTGAAGTAATGGCGTAAACCAATTTCAAATGGAGCCAGAAGGATCTCTGCAGAACACTAATCAGGTAATCAGGGATTCTAAAGGCCCCACCTCTGTTCCTGTCTGACCTCACATCTTAGACTGTCTCACCCTGCTCTGAGGCACTGGAGATATTATCTTTTAAAAGTGAAACATTTTTACCAGTCTGTTTGTTGGTTGGTTCGTTGGTTAGTTTGTCGGCAGGATTATAGAAAAACCACAAACTTATTACCTTGAAACTTGGCAGACAGGTGGGACACAGACCGAGAAAGAACCCATTAAATGTATGTGTTAAATGGTTCAATGGTGTGGATTATTTTCAGTTTCATTACATTGCGACATACAGCTTTTTATTTTTTATTTGAATTGAATTTAAGGGGACCGTTGGGCCTTGGTGGAGGAAAGCGCTCTGCTGAGTATCACTCACATACTATATGACAAAACAAAATGTAAAAATGTGTCAACAATACACATTTGTAGTTTCGTGTTGACCTCTCACTCCCAGAATAGCCCTGATTTGGCATCTGCTGTCTAATAGGTCATGCCTCCAATGAAACATTACTGATTGACATGAGTTCATCCAGTTGATCTAGGCTGGTGAACAAGCTGTGTATATACGTGACCTGGTGCAGCAGACTGCCGTGCACAGCCTCGAAGTAAAGCCGGACTTAAAATCCTCTCAAATTCTCTATCAAACCCACAAGAGGTGTCCAGAAGTGGAAAATGCAGTGAGAGAAGCGTAAGGACTCCGACTCCACCCAACTGTTGAAATGCCTCATGCTATGCTTGCCTGGAGAGATACAAACAACTTTCTCCAAAATTCTCCAGGGGACCAAAACCACTTACAGCTTCTGCACGGATGAAATGTGGCAGCAACTGCAGCGAGACATTGAAACAAACTGCAATCGTTTGTGCTATAAGTGAAAAATGAAATAAATTGAAAATAAACAGAAAAAGGCAAGGAGAAAGAAAATAAAACAAAGGCGAATATGCGTGTATTCACTCCACATAGACAAAAACCACCCCCTGCACCTTAACCACCCTTCTGCATAGATAACTGTACACTCACTACAATTGTAAATCTCATCATTACATCATATGGACACAGAGGATGAGATTAAATATTAGATCTTATCCTACCTCATGACTCAGTTTGCCATCCTGCTGCGTCTCTATGCCTCGACTGTATCCTAATCCTCAGACTGCCACCAGCCAAGGGGGCAGGCTTTAAAAAAAAAAACTATAATAACTGCAGCAAAATTACTTTTGAGTCAGTGGGGGGTGGAGGTGACGGCAGGAAAAAAAACTAAGTTTGTAGTTGTGATAGCAGAAAGAAACGAAATGAGAAGAAAGAAAAAGTGGAGATAGCTGGGGATGTGGGGCAGAAGGTCCTGAAGAGTTGCTACAGGGGTCAGGTGATTCAGCAGCAAGCAGAAAATCGCTCAATCTCTTTAACTGCTTTTTTCCCCCTTTTCTTCTCTCCCTCTCTCTCTCTCTCTCTGTGTGTGTGTGGTATGATCTCTTCAATCATTACTAAGCTTCCCTGAATGTGCTGGCCAATAGGGTTTAAGAGCACCGAGCACTGCAACCTCTTTAGACTAAACACAGGAACGTCAACTACAAACAAAAAAAGGTGCAAAATGCAATTTATATATCAAAAGTGTTTTGCACATTCAGTGTCTTGCCCAAGGACGCTTCAGCAAAGCATACTAGACGAGCCAGGGATCAAACCAGCAACCTCCTGAGCCACAGCCACCCAGGCTTTCGGGTAGAGTAAAGTACAGCAACGCACCATAAGCCGAAAGAGTTTCAGCCGGTGAGTGTGTCCAGACTAGTTTCAGGTAATTACATATCAGGGCATGGTGGAGTGATGGAGAGTGGAGAGAAAGAAAGAAGCACAGAAGAGAAGAGGAAAATTAAAAGGGTCTGCCTGAGATTCTCCGAACAATTCGAGGAGGAGAGGTGATTTATGGTCTCGATCGAATCCAACGCAGAGGTTGTTTTATCTGCTCCCACACTCCTACCGCAGGGAATCACTCCCATTACAGAAACACTCATGTTTAAAACCAGATAAAACAGATAATCATCGGCACTGTGGGCTGAAAGCAAAGCCTCAGTGTGCTGCTGGTCGAGACCCTTCATTCCCTTCTCTCCGGTCCTTTCGAGCCAGATTAGTGTTACTTGCTAAATTCTCAACCAGGATGGGAAAAGACAAAAATCCTCTGGTGTATTTTGTGTTTTAAGTTAATTAGCTACACTAGTATGTTGAATATGGTAAATATTTCCTGTGGCGATATATCAGCCTGTTAAAATTTCTGCAAAATAAGCAAACATCATCATGTGTATGACATTATGAAGATTCATGACTTTATTTAAAGTCACTTTCTTGCACTTCAAAGTGTTTCCATCCCTTGTTTTCACCCGAAGGATTTAGATGTTAACATGTACTCACTCATCATTTCCTAGAAAAGATGTCTCCCACCACACAACCTTCCTGGTTCTCACTTCAGGGGAGACCCTGACCGAAGAAGACATCTTTTGGAGCTGGTCCTGGAATATTTTGCAGCAAGCTGTCACCGGAGTCAAGATTTGGTCCGAGCTGACTGATGTGAGCTCAGTGCTGAGGTCAAATGATGTCCAAGAAGAATCAGAGGAGGCCGAGAGGCTGATGTCCACATTCTCCTCCAGCCATCCGTCTCTGAGGTCCATGGTGCAAGGATGAAACTGAGCACACAGGATGATGGAAGGTAAAAGAAAAAACAAGAGGATGAAGATGGGGTGGCAGCCTGCGATGATGGGTATAAGGAGACGAATGTGTCAAAGGGTGTCCTGATAAGGCTTGAGTAGAAGATACTTCCAAATAAGACAAATGAATTGAAAGAGAAGTGTCTCCACACTCCCACTGGCTAAAAGCTTCTCACTCTTTTCTCTCACTTTTCTCCTGTATCTCCGCAAAGTACTGAAGAGTGAGGAGAGGAATGGAAAGTCAGCAGACCAATCGGAAACAAGAGATGGCAATATGGATGAAAAGAAAACCAAACAGGAGCTAAAGAGAATGAGACACGGAGTGAGTGGGACACTAAGACAGAACTGCACCCACTGCAGAGTGGAATGGGTGAACACAAAAAAAAGGGGCAGAATAATGCGAAAGGTGTGGGCGGCATCACTTACGAAGCGATAGCTCACATTACTTCCCATAGCTCCCAACGATTGAATCATGTGGTAAGTGGATAGAGACGGCGTGGAATGGGAAATCGATTTGAGATGCATGTAGAGGCCAGAACCAGTGGCTTCTGTGGCTACATGATAGCAGCAGGCAAGAGAGAGGCGTCTTAGGTTGCGCTGATAAGCGGTTCATTACAAGAAGTCTGACCCAGTACAAATAAAATTATGGTTCACCACTAAAACCCATTAGGATCCTGATGGGGAGGCCGGGTTGGACAAGCTCCCACAGGTATACTGGGAGTAGACTAAGAGCATAGTTCAGTAAACAGTAAAGACACAGTATAGAGGTAGAGTAGACTGAAGGACACTTTAGAACAGAAAGACACAGTTTAAGGATTCTAACTTTCCCATATAAACTACATATAATATCAAAAAATCTGCATAATGTAAATTACCTAACAGCTGCAAAATAACAGATTATTTTCCCATCTCCTGACAGAGGAAGCAGGTTCCTGACCTAAACCTATAAAACCTTAACCCCCACAAATGAATTGGTTTGGTTATTATTTCATGACAAACCAACCAAAGCCCGCTATTTTCGATTCCGCTGTGTCTCTCAAAGTCAGGCTTGTACCTGATTTGGATCATCATTTTCATTTGGACCAAAGACATGCCCACCTTTGCTTAGATTAAGCAATAAAGGACTTGCTTTCCAGACAAGCAGACAAGGGTACAAAGATTGGATTAAAATTTCAAATTCACTAATGCTCACCAGGGGAACAGTGGCTATACCACACATCGGTGACAAATCTGTCCTTGATTCTGGCAGGTTTTTATTACCTGATTCAATGTTGTGTCAAGTTTTCACACAAATGAGAACCACCAGATTATATAGGGATTGCTTTTAGCTGGTTGAAAAATAAACCAGAGGAGCGATGCTGATAAGGACAGTAAATTCAAAATGTCAGGCTGCAACAACATATTCAGGGTTGAGGTTTTAATCAGCTGGTCCTGCGACGCTCAAGGTCGAGGTGTCGGATAAAATTACACTTAACTTTAAGCTTCATTCCTCTTAGGGGTGGGAAAGTAGGGAGGCAAGAAAAGGAATGAGATGCACATTAGACTTGAATTGAACAGTTTATGTACATACACGTATGAATATATGCAAGAAGACAAGTTTTAGAAAATCTTTATTGAAGTATCATCTCAACTTATTGAGCGATAAAGACGAACAGAACATGACAGAAACAAAACGGGAAATTATTGAAATGAAATAAAAATAACAAGAGAAACCTTCAATTGTGTGAGAGGAAAATTAAATAACATATGACCCAACAGGAGTTTTTGTATTTACATGTTTACAACATCATGAGACAATTTTCAATTATTTCCTATGAAATGTTTAGCAAACAGCATCAGTTTGTGTAAAAGTATGTAACCTTTGTTTGTGATATGGGATAATTTAATATTTCTGATAATTAATGAAGTGAACTGCCTCTATCTTTAACTGTGTATTAAGATATGTCTTTATAAATAGATATGTGGAAATGCATCTACTTTCACTGTTGCCGTTTATTCTTCCTGTCAGACGGAAGCTAAAATGGGAGGGACAGGAACAACATAGTCAAATTAAAAGCACAAAGACATTTATCAGAAATTCACAGGAGGAATGAGCAACAAACAGGAAAATCTAAATACTCCAAAAGAGGAAGAGCAGGTCCCACTGTATCTTTGGAGGGATCGTAAACTGGCGGCACTGCATGAGAAGCTCACTACAGTGAGGGGCCAAGCTTCCAAAACAGGCCAAACAGCAGGCAATACCCCAAAGAGAATCCAGAGGCAGAGCAGAGCGACAGGACTTTTCAAATTTTTCTCCCATGTACGAAAGAACCACAATATTCCAAAACTTTGGCTATGAAGAGGAAAGGTCATAGCGAAAGAGAGAAAAAAGCCTTTGCAAAGTTGTGCCGCTTGTGTCCGTTTCCACATCAGAGAGATTCAAAACTGTTTTGTTATTGCCAGCCTCCAATATTTGAGAGGCTGAGGAACTTCCCAGCCGGTCTGGAGAGCGGCGTAAGCCAGGTAACAAAAATGAGGATAGGTTTGGAAAGAATTAAACCTTATATGCGGCCCACAAAAAGATAGCCAGCACACGGCACTCAACTTGCCTTGGAGCAGTGCTTTGAATCTAAGCAGAACCATAAATTAGGATCAGACGAGGGTTAGAGGCATGGTAGAAGAAGCAAGGCGATCCACAAGGCAACTGGAGGAAAACGAATGTTAGTGAGGGACGAAGCGCAGCTCAGGAGAAAGCTGCTATTGTATTATCCCTCTGTGCGCGAGCGCAGGCAGGTTAATGTTGACCAGCAGGAGGAAACACAGCAAGGGAAGGAAACAAAGCAAGGGAAGGAAAGGCAATGGCTAATGTCTCCTTCAGTAAACGGGCCTCGGCTGTTTCATGCTGTAGTGGGCCTCGGAAGCTGACACATATGCAGACTCAGGGAAAAAATCCTCATGGAACTCTGCCAGAAACCTGAGAGAGAGGGTGAGGGGGAAAGGAAACAGAAGGAGATCCAGTGTTCAGCACTGCTTTGTTCACATCAAATATTCAACACAGAACTGACATGATGTGCTTACATGAAGCAAAAAAAGAAAAAAGCTACGGCAGGAGGTCGCGTTCCGGTTCAACTGCTGGTTTTCCTAGATATCCCTGGCTCGTTCCACATAAATCCCAGACCCTTTGCCCTCTGCCTGTGGATATATAAGTCAGAGACAAAGCCCCTTCATCCATATACTACCACCAGAGAACCAGTCGCAATGGCAGAGAGACTGAGAACATGAGAACGACAGACCAAAAGTCAGAAAGGGAAAGAGCGAAAAATCCCCCCCCCCACGCCACCCTCCTCCCATCTAATCAGTAGCGGGGAAAACTAATCCGGAATCTTCTTAGTATCCGCTACTCGGCCAAATCCTCTAAATCTTGCCATCTCATCTTAGCTCCACCGGCCTTCCTAATCTCAATGCAAACAAATTATCCTCATCAGAGGAGAACTTAAGAACACTTTGACAACGAATAACAAACGAGACAAATCTGAGGGGACAATAAAATGGAATATGTTGAATACCCCCCAGTGAGTAACAGTGAGCTGGTATGAAGAAATTCGTTTTTTTTTTGTTTTTTTTTTACTGTTGCCATCACTGAAAACAAAAAAACACTGGTAATAAGTAAAATAAACTAAACAGGTTTCAATCTATAGTTACTGACAGAAAGTCAACTTTGTGCTAATCTTCATTGCTGCTAGATCAGTAATAAAACAGGGCAAGCTGCTTTAGCCGTACACATTGTAAATCAGCACGACGTGTGCGTTCACATGTGCACGCACACACACCCTCACTTAATCATAATCATTCTTGCAGGGAAAGGGAGAGTGAGAGATCAACTGTGGCCAAATCCCAGAATGCATTGCACGTCAGTCTCCACGACATCAATCAGTTTTTGCCCAGTCGGCACAATCTGCCACGAGGCTGAATTCAGAGTTTAAAAAAAAAAGCTGGAAGGCGTTCCCAAAAGACACCAGTGTTTTAGTGTGTGTCCAGTGTCCTGCAGAGTCACCAACACGGTGAACACATGAATTAGTTAACGAGGATAATATAATATACTTATAGTTAACCACAGAGCTATAGGAGACTGAATTCACCATTATTCTGCAGAATAATGCTCTAAGAGAAGAGTTGCAGCAGTGATTTGTCGTCCAGTGAATTTAAGGACTTCCTACCCATGACACTGCACGAGAGGCTGTGCCAAGACGAGCTGCTAATGCTGCTGAAGATAAAAAGTTCCCCTCTGGCAAAGCTGAATGCTGCAATCTTTCATATCGCACACCTCTTTCTTCAGAGCGGCAACGCCATCTCTGTCTATTTTCAGAAGACCCCCTCAAGCTTGCGGCACCGAGTACTGAGCTCGTATTTATTTATTTACACTTTCAAATGTGTAGTGGAAGAGAGGCAGGGTTTCTGTTTGTGGAGTTGCTCCACAGCGCTGCTGGGTGGCAGAGGGCAGTACTGCGAGTGTTTGATTAGAGAATGCGAGGGCCTAAATCCCTCAGGTTTGGGACCGGCTGAACTGAAGATCACTGGGGAGGATTTAAAGATTAGACTCCCGTGCTTGTGTAACGCCCACTCATCTCCCTCCCTCAAACACATGTTCTTTCTCACTCCATCCCGCCCTCCCCTCCAGCCCCATGTTCCCATTTACTTTCTCTTTCTTGCCTTTCTATTTTGGTGTCTCTGGGTTTATTTTTGTGTATTGATCATTTCCTTTTTGAATTTGATCGCTGTCCCTTATCTCTTACAATCTATTATTTTCACTCGGCTGCTGCTCTACTTGTGACTTCTCGCAGCTCAAGCCTGGCACTTACTCTCGAGCTTTAATGCTTAGCTAGGCAACACTTTAGGTAATGAACCGAGTTGATTGTTAGCAAGGTGCATTATAGCTCATATTCAGTGTCCCCGTTAATTCATTTCAGCACTTCATGATTTATCCTCCAAGGAAATTATACAGGATTTCAGACAGTTTCTGTCCACCTGACGGCACAATCCATTTTTCAAAGAGGGGGGGGGTGTTATATTAATATGCCAGTATTATGCATGTAAGGAAGAAACTAATCTTTTAGGCCCGAGTGAGTCAAAGGTTGCCGTCAAAGTCTTTTTCTTGCTTGAGAAGGTTAAAGCAGTGGCAGCCATGGTAGAAGACGAGAATGCTAAGAAAAGGAGGTAGAAATACTACAAACTAAATATGTGGAATGCATTAAATAACTTGATATAACTGTAGATTATAATTAAATCCAGTTAGTTTTATTTTGTTACCTCCTTACTAATTGAAAACCGCCTTTCTATTGAAACCTGATTTAAAATGTAGGTCTCCGCCTTGATCTCATGACGTTGAACAATCAAGGTCAAGGAAACGTGGTTAGGAAAAGAAAAGTAATTGTAGTCCCAGCATCTTTATAGAATGAATAAACTGTATCCGTCCCTCTCTTGGTTTGTAAAGCACTTACCTCGGAGACTGACCTCTAACTAATAAAGGTAAAATTACTGTATGTTTTATGACACTTTGCAGTTACCTGAGGAACAGTTCCAAATGTTTGACCAGGGCTCGGAGATTCCTCTCAGGGATCTGCATCTTTCCCAGGATCTCAGGAAGCTTCACTGGAAGAAAACACATTGAGCGAGGGGAACGTGAGGAGGTTGCACAAAGGCAAATGTGTGCAGAAAAAGTGAACCAGCGATAGATAAATAATCAGAGACACCAACCAAAGAGCCGCAAGAGGTGCTGTGATCCGTACAGGTAGGATGGTGGAGAAGGTTGGTCGTTCAGAGGGTAGTTATCAGGAGTTAGCTTCCAACTTAGGACCTGGTGATGAGAGCAAAAGAAAAATGATTTAATCCCTTTAACACACAAAGTTATGATTAATGCATAAGATGTTTCTCAGAGAGTAAATGTGAATGTCACAGAGCAATATGCTGGACCGATGGGCCTGGGTCTGACATTTTAAATTCATACATGCATGAATTCTCTCCCTGAAATGATGCCGGCCATTTGTCTATCCTTTCCTAGAGTCCCTCCAGGTCATTGTTCACACACAGTTGCATCACCTCATTAAGTTCGTTGTTTCTCCGGCTCTCCATGCCGTAGAATGGCCCGCTTCGCTCTTTGCTCGGCGTCAAGGGCAGTGGGGAAGATGAGCCACTGTGCACTGGGGTTTCTAGGTAAAGAGGGGAAAAAAACACAGATTGCTCCTATGACACAAATCGCTGATGGAGTATGGTTAACAAGAACTAGTGACAGATCAAATCTATTCATGGGTGAGTACAGTTCTAAGGAAAGAAGAAGGCCTCCATCTAGTGGGCAAAACTGGTTCCTACAATAAAACAAGTTCACTCGAAAAAGATGACTTTTCATGAAATGCATTCATTTTGATATTATTTCTGATGAAGAAAAGGTCAATGTAAACATTTTGACTTATCAAACAATGATTGGAACCCAAAATAAGACCAAATACTTCAACATTATTGGCACAAAATCACAAAACGTTGAATTTCTCATATTAATATATGAGATCATGTTAAGTGTTCATTAGAATATGCTGTTGTGCAATTATTTTTTAATGGAGCGTCACTTACTTCTGTCGAGATTGAGGAAGAACTTGGGTTGGGCCGAGGTGTCGACGAGGCGCTGTTTGAGCTGTGGGGACGCTGTGGCACTGCCTCCACCTGGATCGCCACATATACAATTAGAGCACACAAGATTAATCAGTGTTACAATGCAAAAACCTATTATATATTTAAATGCATAGGTGCATGGTCTCAAAGTAAAGACAATAGTGTCACAGCTCCGCAGATATCATATCATTGACCTGCGACTGGTGTTGCTGCGTCTCGTAAAAGACACAGTGCCACAAGTTTAGGAAACACTTTAGGAGAGGTGTTGCGTCATGTGGAAGCCATCAAGCCATAAAAGATAGTAGTGCAGCATCTGAACACTGATGTGGCATCTGTCTGGAAGCCTGATCACCTTCAATGATCATCAGAATAAAGCAGCTAAAACAAGACAATATTCACATGTGCAAATCTGTACCAGGTTAATTTCATTTATTTGTTTTGTCGCTGTAGGGTGCAAAAATAAAAGTTACCTATCCCATTTATTGCATGCTTTTATTTTCTAATTTAAGAGAACTAACAATTCAAGGAATAAAGTGGTAAAATAATCACAAAATAAAATCAACCCATGTTCACACTGAGATGATTCCTGGTTGACTTCACCGCTGCATCACAGATTACCACTGTTTTATATCTTGAGATTTGTTTGGAGCAAGTACATTTCACATGACACAATCTCTCTTTTCAACCGAGACGTCCGGCTACCTTACCGATATGTCAGGTAAGTTGAGTAATTAGCATCTCAGTAACAGACAATGCTATCTTTGGTAATGAGCTAAACTTACATTTATATGGTTACTACCTCAGGTAAGCAGGTGTTAGCAGCTGGTGGTTGGTAACTTCAATTGTGCAGGACTGTGTGGTCTGTAGGACTGATTGTGGCAGAGATGGCTCTCGGCCTACCCCTGTTTCCTGGGAAACATGAGTACCAACTGGATGCCGGACTACGCAGCATGCAGTATTTTAATATTTGTGGGATGTGGAGATTGAAGGTATCCATCAATCCATTCATCCATTTATGATTTAACCTAAACTCTGTCTTTTTGTAGACTTCGGAAGAGTTGCACGCTCAGACTGGGCTCCGCTACAGCAACATGAGGTGCATCAACTCTCCATGTGTCCTTGTGGATGTAGGTCAATCTTTGTAATGTCATATTAATACAAGAATGTCTTCAAAAGACGCCTCAGGAGTCCTATTCTTTGACTAAATTTCCATCTTTGAATCCGGTCATTAGAAATATTCAAAACTTTGTCCCTTCAGATCATGTGTCCAGCCCTCAGGGGTGAAAAGAAGGAGATGGAGCACGTCACTGACCTCTTGAAAAAGATGTTGTGCCTCAACAAAAACGAGAGGATCACACCAGCACAAGTGCTCAAACACCCTTTCCTCCCTGTGGAGCAGCACGCTTACAGCACACACCTGACTGTCACAGAGGAGGAGCCCTCCGTACCTCAGCAGCCTCTGACCTCCGAGGAGCTCCATCCTCCTCCTACAGAGACAACATCTTTGGATCATGAGGATGAAGAGGTCACAGAATCACCTGAGCAGCTGTCAGTACCTCAGCAGCCTGACCCCGACCTCCGAGGAGGTGCATCCTTCTCCTACAGAGACAACATAAATCCCTCACAGTCTCCTGGTGTTTATTGTTTCAGTCGAACTAACCCAACATTTCTTTGTGGTTTTCAGAAGTCGTGGCTGAGAGCAGGAGAAAGAAAGCATCAAGACGTGTCAGGAGATTTTTACACGCGTCAGAAAGGTCTTCTCCAGTCGCATCAAATTAAAATAAAATGCCATTAGCTCCACATGTACACTATATCTCAGGATTGCCTCATTAACATTTCTTTATTTCATTATGTTAGTATTGGAAGAATTTATGTATTTTAATATTTTAACGTTTCTTGATTTCAATATTTCATTATGTCAGTGTTAAAGTATTTCTTGATTTTAATATTTAATTATATCACTATTTTAGTATTTCTTGAATATCTTTTCATTATTTGTGTAAAATGATTCTTGTTTTGCGAGTCATGGATTACCTCCGCTGCTTCCCTCAGCTGGTCGGTCGCCTCCAGACGTGTTCCTGGTGGAGCGTCTGAGTGACTGGGACTGGTATGAGATACAGTCCATGTCAGGGTGGCGCCGGCGCTTTGGTGTGGGTGCTGGGGCCGTGGGTGTGGTGGCAGAGATGTCGCTTAGTGCCGGCTGGCTGTCCGTAGACTGAGGAGTCAGGGGGTTGTGTCCCAACGGGCTCGGGCTGCGCTCCCGCTGGGTGCTTCAGAAAACAAAAGAAGACACAATGGTCAAATGTAGTGCATCATAACCAAGCAGAGGTACCTACTTCAGCACATATGACATGATTTATAGAAGCACACTTACTTGCTGGAGCATGGGGAGCTTTCATTCATGGCCAGAAAGAGCCTGGACGAGCTGACCTTTTTGAACTGAGCTTGTTCACAGGGATAGAGGAGGATCATGGGTAAGGTGAAGTCAAACGTGATTCTCAGGCCGTCAACCATCTCCTTACACAGCTCCTCGCTTAATACAAAGGAAGTTGAAACATCATTATCATATAAAATGGAACTGTGATTCAATTATTGACTGGAACACCACATATTTAGTTGTTTACTGATGCTCGGGTACACAAATCTATTTCCATTGCATTATTTTATACAGGCTCACCTCTTCTCTGGAGGGATTGCCTGGGGACTGCTGCTATGTGAGGTGTTCTGCTGCCGCCGGAACCTCTCATTAGCCATGAATGCTTTGTTGATGGCAAAGTGTTTCACGTACGACTCCAGGATATGCACGACATTCATCTGACAGGGCACCATCACCAGCTAAGGGAAGAAAGGAGGGCTCATCAAACAAACTCATATATTTCCCATTTATCATTTAGTCTTGGCAACAAATGTAATCCACATGCAGAATGCAAAGCACCAACATGAAATGCAAACCACAGATGGTGAGTCTGCAGCGTGTACCTTTTTCCTCTTGTTGATGTAGAAGCAGTCATCCTCCAGTTTCTTCTTCAGAACATCTGGGATGCTGATGTCGATATGGACAATCTTCTCCTCACATTCCCTTTTGACATTAATGTCTGCTTCAACCCTCTGAAACGAGCAAGACATAAACGTATGAAGTTACCCTCAAAGCAACCGGTGAAATGCAGTTTAATGGAATGAAGGTTTTTTTCCAATGCTAAAACGCCAGTGTTGGGCTGTAAGTTCCTCGATGGACATTGAACCAATTCACTTTACCATTTTGTTGATATCCTCAGAGAAAGTGCTGTCCCCACTATTGGAAGATTCAGGGTCAGAATCGTCGCCGTCACTGCTCTCCGAAGACGAAATCAAACCTGGAGACCGGAAGATGCAGATGCATTAATGTGATTGCTGAGGGACACCGGGAGCAAAAAGACAAAGACGGAGACTTCTCACATGCGTCATCGCTGTCGTCCTCCTTAGGGAGAGTCTTCAGAGAAGATTTAGTGCCAGACTGACGACGACGCCTCTTCGACCATCCTTTTCTCTTCCTGCCACAAAGACAGAGACAAAATACACAGTTGTTTATAAGACTTGTCAATAGATAGATCAAGCAAATGGAAAGGTCACATTCAAAACTAGTGGATGCAGGCCAGAGACTGATACAAGGTGTGCTGAACTTGTAGTTTGAACTTCAGGTGTAATATACTGTATATGCAAGGACACGGTATCCTTTCAAAATTAATTCAGGAAAATTCCTAAAATCTACTGCCTGTCCATCAAGTAGCAAAGGCCAATAAATGATTCTGACAAGAATTGGTCAATTCACATTGTATGTGTTTATCACACATTTACTTTCAAGACTTACTGAACTTAATATGTTCAGTGATATGAACTTACATGCGACCGAGGGCTTTGCGAGCCAGTCTACGCTGCAATTTACGGCTTTCCTCTGTGTCCCTTAGGACATGGTCCTCTGCAGCCCAACGATCCCAGCTACACAAACATCACAAAAGAAAAGAACACATGAACTGACAGCTACATCTTTACACACGTTGATGAACATGAGATTTATACAATAACAAAAATGATAATGAGTGTGACATTAATAACATAAAACTAGATCTATCCAATGTCACCTTCTGTTCCAACCATTGAAGTGAATGAAATACTTTGGGATTATTCTTCCATGTTCATCTGCACATATCAAGACATCAATGACCTGTAATGTGAACACACAACAGAAAATACAAACTTTACCTTCACTCAAATGTACATTTACTCAAGTACTGCAATTGATCATCGTGTATTTATAAAATGAGGATTTGAAGGTTTTTTAATCTCAATTCATTGTGACTCTTTACTTTAAACTGACACCTTACTTAAAACCCCACGGTATTTTATCATCAACACATTTCAAGTTTGTAGAATATATCAAATCTGAAGAAAAATGGCAACGCAATCATTATCAGAACTTTAAATACACATCACTTACTTACTCCTTGTGTTAGAATTAGTTTCCTTACTAAAATAATGTTTCTCAAGTATTTCAGTACTTGTGCATACTCAAAATATTTGCATTTGCAACCATGACTGTGTGCAATCTATATTTTATATATCCTATTTACGTTGCACACATCGATTGCTATCTTTATATATATGTCTATATATATTAGATTAGATAGAACTTTATTGATCCTTTGGGAAGACTCCCTCAGTGAAATTAAAATGTTCCCCTTGGAAGCTCGTTAGTCGCCATTGATACTTTACTGTGTAATGTTGCTCCTTCAGCTAAACACTTGGACGTGCAGCTAATGCCAACTGTTAGCCAGACTTAGTTAGCAAAAGCTAAGCTAAGATAGCTTGATGTTCCCAGTGATCCCTTCTGTTAGCATTAGCTAGCTCAACAGCCAGTGAGCACCGAAAACAAAACAAAGCATCATTATATAGCATGCCATGCTAACTGTGTGGAATTAGCTAGACAGCATTCAGAAGTATTAGATTAGTGACTGTTAGCTGAGTTAGCAGGGCAGACATGTTGGTGCGTTTGTTTACTAGTTGTTGACATGGATCTGCTTTGTATTAAAGCTGCCGAGCTGTTGCTAGTGTTACTTTACTGTTCCCTTAAAGCTAACATGAGCTAAAATGATGTGATTGCATGAATTGCTAACAGTTTGGGGGCGAAGAGCTGCAGACCATCATGTTTGTTTTTCACTGCAACAAGAGGAAACGTGCAAAATCAAACGTACCCGGAAACCTGAGGGGCTAGAGACGGATCTCTCCGAGGCCTACGAGTCGGTTGGCATGTCCCACATTTTACAGAAGTAACCCCGCTTTTCCTCTACGGATCATTGGTCTGTGCTACATTTAACAGGCGCCGCTAGCTAGCATAGCACGTTACCTTAGCGTCGTACAACACTTTAGCTTTGGTGGGGTCTGGTTCGAAGCACAGGACTCGCTCTCCTTTGTGAAATCGATATTTGATTCCCCGCGAATTCATTTGTTCATGGCGACGAGTGGGAGAGGAGGCATCGATCGGGACCCTGCGACACGCTCAGTAACCCCTTCACTGCAGAACACTGTTTCCTCCCACGAGAAGTCTGCCCACAAACACACCACGAGGAGTCTCCCGCTGAAACTCACTGTGCAGGGATGCATGCTGCTGCCTTCACTGACACCACGTAATTTCTACCTGCAGTGTTGCAACACTGTTGTCTGTGCACAGTTAATAATTACAATAATAAACATTATTTATATAGCACCTTTCAAAACGGTTTGTTTTTATTGTATTGTCTTTGGCTTCTTTCTACCTTGCTTTTATTTTAATTTAACTATTGCACTGCTGAGCTGACCAGTTTCCTTTTGTTCAAATGTGCATATGACAAACTTTTTTTACAGTTACACAGTGATTTGCAAGTTAAAAATGAAGGTAAACAATAGGACAGTGTTAAAAAGCAAACAATAAGAAACGATTTAAAATCAATTTGAAGACCACACAGCAATAGAGCTCAGATACAGAAACAAAAAAAAACATTACAGTGGAGAAAAGAGTAAAACAAGATAAAGTAAAAATATTAGTGAATTAATAAAAGAGTAAATTGTAAGAAAAACACAGGTCACCTTTGGTCCTGTGTAATGGCGATCAGAGAACTGCTGCTTATTTTCGGTACATTGTATATTACAAATAATTGGACAAATTGCAAAACTACTATATTCTATTTTATTCTTTCTTTTTTACACCATTTTACACTGCTGTGTCGATTGGGAGTTTCCTCTACAGATGATCAATAAAGGTACATCTTGTCTTAGCTTATTTAATTATTTTATTTAATTCTAATGAGATTAAGAAAAATAAAAACAACTCAAGATCAAGAAAGATTCACTGATCAAGGTACTTTTTGTGGCACTTCCATCAGTGCCTGTGTAAATTAAAAATTAAATAAACAACTCAGTGGAAGGAGAGGCTTTCTGGTCTAAGTGCATTTTAAGATAAAAGGTCAACATAAAAGGTCAACCACTTTCTCAACTGTGCACATATCTATAGCATTGCTGTGTGTGGTCAGAGAAACACACCATGGCAAGGGGTAAATAATTACAATTGCCATAAACGAGAATGCAACACAACAAAACGAGATTTGATCCGTTGCATTTGTCTTTCATGGAGCAGTGCAACTCACAAACCAGGCCAGCAGATGTCAGCATATGAGCAGCATTATTTTTTGGCTCACCATTGAACTCTTTATTGAATGTGTGCAGGCGGTAAATCTGCATCTAAAGCTGCTTTACCACACAAAAGCAACACGTGCCCTGACACTGACTGTGCAGTATATCTGTGCCAATCTGCATCACCTAACAAACATGCAGAATATATAGAATTATCTTTATTATCTCTACATCGTCACTCTGGTGTCTGTTATGGGATCCTTGACATATAAATGGGTACCTCTGGGTAATTTATATAGCCCTGTTACAAATATGTGTGTAAATTAAGCAACCTGGGAATCATACGTCCTATCCCTCAGCTATATTGTTTGAGTATTTAAAGTATTTGGATATACCCTTCCCCTTGAGGCACCATACAGTAAAAGAAAATTCACCATGTCTCAATAATCTAATCTTGCTCTATTGGAACAACATGGGGGCTCTTAAAATACACTGAAGGCTACACTATAAGAGGGTTTGTTTACATAAAGCCAGGAATTTTTGCTCATATGGACAGACATCGCCCCGGGGTTCAAATTGTGTGCATGTGTGCTAGGAGAAAATAACCCTTCCACCACGAATTACTGTTAAAAATAGACCCTGCATCACTGCCTTACTGTTTACACCAGTAATTCGATTTTCGTTTGTTTCTGACCTTGTGACCTTCCCTACATTCATATCTCTCTAACAGCCTCAGACAATGAAATGCATGCTGATCCGCAGCACAGGAAACCATGCCTCTGCAGCTGTGGCCCAATCTACACTCATTTCGCTTAAAATGGTGTCAGGCTGTGCTGCGCTCCTGTTGTATACCAAATATGGACAGTGTGTATGTAACACCGAACACGACTGGCTTGAAGTGTAGCAGCAGTTGATTTATTCTTCTTTCCCTCCGACCCTGTGCGTGTCTGATATATTTTGACAGTCACGTCAAATGATCACTGTTTCACATTAAATGTTTTCCATGGTTGCACATTAGTAACCCGAGAGAATGGAGGCCCAGATTGTCTTAAACATATGATGACTGGACTGAAAGCAAAGGATGCTGCAGCGATCCATACTTTAAATCTGGTAAATATCTTCATAGTTATGCACTTTTCCTCTTTATTACTGTTGTTTCTGGCTTTTTCCCAAAATAGCAGTCTAGGCCGCGAGCTCAAAAAGGCCTCAAGTGGTTTCTTCTTTGAATAAACTAATGCAAAACACTTTCTTTTCTTTCTGTAATTCCCACTTGTGTGATTTCAATCAGTGCCTCATTCTCCTGACGGACTGTTTTTAGAAGGGTGTTATCGGCTGTTATCAGTGTCATGTCATGCTGTGTTGTGTGTATATGTGCGACTGTGTCATGCGGCACAGCTTCATAAGCTTCTTTATCAGTCCGCCGGCACCCTCCTCTCCAGACTCCTGCTGTCTCTTTCCATTTTTCCCATAGTTTCACACACTGGGCCGAGCATGCTCCTGCTCTCTCTCTCTCTGTCACTCTCTATTTGTCTCTCTCTTTCTCCCACACTCCCTCCTTTAAACAAATGCACACAGTATCCTAACACTCTTACTGGAGCTCCTCTTTGTCAACAAGTGTCTGGCATACACAGGTGAATAAAGAAAGAGGAATTGGCTATGAATCCTGAATGGCTCACTTCTTGTTTGGCTAATAATAGCACATAGCAGGCGTTATTGATGTGCCTATTATTCCCAGACAGCGAGGTGGATTAATGTGAGACGAGGATTAATACGCCTATATTCATCCCAGGCTAAATCATGTCTGTCTGTGTAGTATGACCTTCTGCATGTCTGATTATTGCATCAGGCTACTTACCTCATCCACCACATGAAGATGAGTTTGTTAATTATAAAAATGAAAACGAACTATAGAAATTCCGCAGTTTAAGAGGCAAAGACATCACAAAACAAAAGTGGTGTCAATTCTTTTAGGTGATAGCAAATCATAGTTTTCTGAATAGATGAGATAAGTGATCACCCATATCATCTGGAAATAATACACATTTTATCAACGTTGAAAAAGGAGGGGCAATGGAGCTCTAAAGTTGACTCTTCATGCAAAAACTAAAAGTTCTTAAATATTAAAAATATAATAATTTGGCATTCAATGTGTTTTCAAGAGAACAGTTATAGCATGCAAACATTCTTATTAAGTGTTGTGAACCCCCTCCCACACTCACGCACACACACACACACACACTTCCACCCTGTCTTCTCACTTCACTGCAGTTTGGCAATGACCATTGACCAATGCGCATAGGAACACAGCATGGGAACAGATGTGTCTCGCTCCTTCTCCAGAGGCTGCATTCAAATGCATCGCACCCCATCACTTTCCAGCTCCCCATCTGCTTGTGCTTGATGGTTCCTTCTGATGGGGCAACACCAGATCCCTGGTTTGTAGTTGGAGCTTTAGAGAACTGCGCTGATGTGAGATCCAACACAAGGGGACATGTCTGCCGCTCAAGGACTTCTAAACAGCGTCTTCTCCTGTTCCTCTCCCGCCTCCAAAGCCATGACCAAGCGGAGGCTACGCCAGACCCGCAGCCTGGACCCCGCGATTATAAGACACTGTGACACCGGCACCGAGGGCGCGAGTCGAGCACCGTTCCCCGGAGCGCCGCCCGAGGACGCAGGTGCGTGTCCGGAGCGAGTCGCTGTGAAACCGACTTTACGCATGAAGATTCCGACGCTAAAGGAGCCCATAACCCCGTCCCTCTCTTCCCCTTCCATTCCTTTGGACGTTTCCCCATCATCCAACTTCCACTTTGACTATGAAACGGTGAAGCGGGCCAAAAGGAATACCGCCGGGGATTTACCGTTTCTGGTGAGGGGACCCGGTGCCGCGCCGTCCGGGAGCACGGGCGCGCTGTTCTCCCCTCGGAGGTGGCTCCAAAGGAAGGTGCAGCCGACCAGCTCTCACGCTTACGTGGTGTGGAAATCAGAGGTAAAGATTCCAGTGGAGAATAATGAGTCTGTAATTCATCCGGTTTGTGTTCAGAACCATGCATTCCCATCTATTCTCACCACGCATGCATCATTTAGTCTGCATACATACATGATGTCACTGCTGTAAATCAATAGAGGAGAGTGGTTTACTCCAAATCCATTGATATAAAACTAACGGATAGTTTATGGCTCCTGGAATAATTTAAATAAGAAGCAATCAGCAGGCTTAACACATTTGTTTATTTCTGCTCTGAGCAAGGAAATCCACTGGATCTCAGAAGTCACTTATGCTGAAAATCTCTTTGAGGACAGCCAGACGCTGCAAAGTGCACATGTTTGATTCTTAGTGCCCAGAGAGGTGTCTGTCCATTTTTCTATTCACCGAGTATCCAGTCAGAAAGTCATCACCAACATTCATGGCTATATTGAAGAGCGTTGAGCTGTCTCTGACATCTTCACCTGAAAGCCATCCAGTATCAAACCTGCACACTCGTCCATGTCGCGCGGCCCGAGGGCACCTGTATTTTATGTGTGGTCACTCCTTTGTTTTCAGGCCTTGTGAGGGTCATACCTTACACAGAAGGACTTATTGGAAAGCCAAGAAATCTCTTGTGGTGCTTTTGAGGATTAAATAATTCCCACAAAAGGCGCAATGAAGTGCACAGATTTCTCTTTGACTGTCAGCTCCGCTGGGCTGGTCGAGCCTTTCTCTTCATATAGCCTTCAAATTGAGTGTGAATAAGTGGAAGGCAGCATACGAAATCCTTACCAAAACATACTTGGCTGACTTATTTTTAGAAGGAGGGGGGCTTTATAGGCTGCATAGTTGGCACAAGTCCACATGCAGTAGTGGAAAGGTATGATAATTTCCCAGCTTCTTTTGTAGACTTGCTCTCTCCCTCTCTTTACTTTAGCTGATATGTATAGTAGCACTAAATGTGTGTGTGTGTGTGTGTGTGTGTACGTGCAGCAGTGCGGGATGTGAGGGTCTTAAGGACACATGGCCTGGGACTTGGTTCTCACGACTAAGAGCGGTCACAGGGTCAGATCCATGTGGCCCCTCAAACAGCTCTCCCATCATTTCCTATTACAAGGAACAGCTCCAGCTTCACTCTCTGTTTCCCTTTTCCAGTTGCTCCTCTCTTTCTTTCCTTCTTTCTCACACGCACACACACGCCTCCACGCTGTCTCTTACTCTCCGAGATGTCCAGAAGCTCTCACTCAGCAGAGTTTCCCACCGCTGTAACTCTTTTTACATGGTGCCCCCCCCCTCCCCTCCATCTCTACCAGGGCCCAGTGAGGATAACATGAGGCCATCAGTTGGGAGTCATTAGTGTAATCTGGACCATGAAGTTATTGCACCTCCGAGTGTTTGTAAAAATACTCGGCCCAGAAGTGTTGCTGGTCTGCTGGGGAGTTTCACACACTGTTGGGTGTGAGGTGAAATTCCGATGTGAAGCGTCAACAAAGACTTTACGGTGGAAATGTACCGAATATAGCAGATTTACTTTTGAATGCAAAGCACTTTTTTACATGTAAATTATGGAAAAAACGTTTGACAACAGATGGAAAAAGACCTTTGTTTCTTGCAGTTATTGACACCTCATGTCAGACACTCTCAGAAAGAAAAGAAAGGCGCGTCTGTTTAACACAGGACCTTGCAAAAAGAATTTGCTCACGTTAATTACAACTCTATTTGATTACGTCCCTGCATTGTTTAAAAAGCATCGAGCTTCTCTTTCTTTTTGAAGAACAGAGTGTTTTTCCACGCCGCAATCAGGGTTGACTCGGATACTTAAGAGTACATCCAAAAAAGTTTAATAGCCATAGACCTTGTTATTTACCGTACACATACATTCCTTTAAATTAGATTTCTGCCCTCTCGGCTCCAAGGCCTTGTGCAACATGTCCAGTTTTCTATGTTTGTTTCCTTCTTCGTTAACAGCCACATAGTTCATATCCCACCTCCAGTTTGTATTTCAGGCTTTATCTCGTAAATGTGTGAGATAAATCTGATGACATCATCTGTGTTGTTCTAAGCACATTGAGAACCAGCAAAAGTTGTGCAACATTTTTTTTTTTTACAAGCCAAGTTTCGTTCATGGCCGGAATCCCATGATTTTACTACCTCTAAAAATCCCCAATACGATGCCAGTTTGAACGTTTTGACCAACACGCAACAAACCACATCTTTTCATTTTATGAAAAAGGAAGCAGCTTTTTAAATTATTTTGAACTGATTTGAACTCAGAATAGCAGATATAGAAAACCAGACCTAAGCTGCATCCTGCATTTCAAGACGGATTTTGTCGCAGTGACGGGACGAGGCTTTCCCATTGCAAAGCCTGCACCGTGTGCAGCCGCTTAAAGTTGCCGACGATTCAAAAGAGAAAAGATGCACATCGGAAAGCCACTGTAGAGCAGACTGTGTCATTTTCAGTTCGACCTTTGCAGTCTGCGCTGCCTCCGTCATGGCCCTTGTTGACCTCATCTTGGATTGGGAAGCAGCTACTATCTGAATCTTATCAACACAGATTTTAAATGATTTGTATCCCTGAGTGTGTTTGTGTGTGTTAGGGTGGGGGGGCAACCTGTACACATACAGTACTATGCCTTTTTAAGGAGGGAGACGTGGACGGAGAGGCAGAGAGAGGTGGGTTAGGCTGAGACAGTGGAGATGTAATGGTTTACACAAAAAGCAGCGCCTGACAGTTATAGTGGCGGTGATTGCTTAATAGCTTTTTTCCATGGCCAGGTTGTTGATGTTCGACAGACAATGACGCGGAAAAATCATCAGAGAAGTGCCCTCTGTGTTATTACAGTAGGAGAGGTCAGCGACTGGCGCTTCTTCTTGTGAGGGTTGGTCATCGTATCAACATATTCTTGAAGTAGCGAGTGGGTTTTTTTACAGGGACGCTGGAATTTGGCGTCTGGAACATACCATAAATCTATGCAGTGTTTCTCTCTGTCACTAACCCGCAGCCGTACTGTCTATTTTTAGAACAACTTACCCCAGTAGTTCAGAAGAAAATCATTCCTCCTGCAACTATTGCTTAAGGATTGATAACAGAGGATTCAAAGGGATTTAGAAGTGGTTATTTGAGGTCTGAGTTTTGTCCGCTGACACTGTCATCTGCACGCATTCAGCAACCGCAATCAAAATGTTGGACCCACAAACAAACACTGAGTACAATAAGGAAAGGAAAATATACATAGGCTTATTTTGAGGATGAAGAGTATAAAAACTGTAGGCGTACATTATGATGATAGATGATGACAGATGTTTTGCACACAGCAAATCCCAAGTTTCCATTGATAACGAAGTGTGGTCGTGACACGTGGGAATCTGGAAGATTACTTTGGGGAATTCTCTGCTTCCTACCTCAGATAGTTCTATGAATGTTAAAGGGGTTGGGGAGTATGGACGATGGCCTGAATCACTGTCTCTCCAAAAAGCAAAACCAATATTGAGACTATAGATCCATATTCAGAATAAGACAGGATGTTTACATGTGTTGCTAAAGGATTCTTGCCATTTACATGTTACAGAACATGCTTGATTAGGGTTATTTTTGCAAAAGTCAACTCCACATGTATTTTCCATCTTGTTCTCACTCTAACCTGTATGACCCTGATTTATCAGATCACGCATTCAGATTCAGTGGAACTGCTCCACATGTTTGCCATTATTTATACTGTGAATAACACAAGCCAAAACATTGACTCTTGTCAGTGCTCACTACCAGGAATCAGCAGTTGGGTTTTTCCCACCATAAGTGGTCCAAGTTCAAGTGTTTATAGCAACACTGCACTGCATGGTCTGAGCATTGGGGAGAAATACTGCCGCAAAGCCTCGAATCAAAATAAGAGGACAGATTTAGGATCTGCACCGTTTTAACTGTTTGAAAAGATTGGTATTTTATCTCTGTTTTGTTTGGATCGCGAAATTGTCTTGTGCTGGACAATTTCTGAGGTCAATTAAGAGGTCTGCCGACTAGAGGCAATCGAGGCTTTGCAGTCGACACTCTGAGCCTCAAAGCTTCAAATCAATTCCACTTTGTTGTATTAAGTTAAAAAAAAAAATCACCATCTCTAAGCTTTGTATCAAACAGTCATAATTTCTGAGTTCTGCATTAAATTCCATCTTAAAGGAAGTTTTTAACAGAATGGCTTTTTAAATAGTCTTGCTTTGATTTAATTCACTGCTTTTACTCATTGTCTTGTCATTGTTTGCTGTAAAGAACCCGATAACTTAATTGTGATATATCGTCTCCAAGGCAGAAACTATCAATCACTGTCATTATGGACTCATCCTCTGATTATTTTCTGGATTAATTGAATAATAATGAAGTTAGCAATATATAAATTGCTCATAAGCAGTTCCCGAAATTGCATTTTGGTGTCTTAAAATGTTTTGTTTTCAACATTAATTAATCCTAACTGGAGGCTGCCATGTATCTACCTATGTATTTATATACATTTTTTATAGTTATATTGCTATTTAGTATACTATGGTAACTAATACCAATTCATATACATACATTTACATGTATGCATATATAACACAAATATAATATACCTCCTGCAGTGCATACTGTACAAACATCATTTCTGTGGTGAAAGGTGCATATCTATATATATTCCTAATCACCTTTTCTATTCATTCTCATGACCACCTCACTCTGAGTGGAATTCCCCACCGTGGGAACAATAGCTTTATCTTGTCAACATTTAATAGTCAATGTCATATTTGAAATATCTGAAAATGTGTCAATTTCAGCAACAGATCATTTCAGCTCTGATCGTAACAAAGGTTGCCATCAAATCAGAACAGACGACTACCACAGACACATAAGTCGTATTCCTGTCTCTCACACCTTTCAGATTCTCTGCTCATCAAACAGTCAGGAATGAGATCAGTCCAAATGTGTGATAGGTTCAACACATCAAACCAAAACAACACTAAATACAAACCACAAATAAAAGCAATACGGCAGA